GATTGAAGAGACAACTGATTTGAAACAACCAAAAAGTTATGTTGAAAAGAATTCTTTTTCAGTTGAATCTATAACAGTAATAGATGAGGTGATTGATGCTGTAACTCCAATGAAATTGCCAAGACCATTGTCACTTGTAGCACTCCTGAGGCAGACACAAAAGCACTTCTTAGAAAAATTCTAAAAACATTTTTCCATTGACAATAATTGGTGACCTAGAAAACAAAAAAGAAAAAAGTCATAATTTTTCATATCTTAATACTATGGAGGGAACTTTTGAGTTATCCATTTATGAATGGAATAAAATTGAAAAATTGTCTAATGAAGATGATAGAATTTCAAAAGACCTTCGAAATATGTTAATTAGAGACAAGTTTGTAACCGTTAATAACTATTATAATCTTATAATCGGGATGTCTTTTCATAAAGTTATACATCCAATCTAAACCAGCTTGATCATTTTCTTTGGCAAATGGATGGTTTATTTGATTTTTTTTCTGCAAGTTGATATGCCAAAAGTCGAATTTCTTTTGTAGTGAGACCAACCAAACAAGCTTCCATTAATTACCAAGTCGATTTTCCTGTTCCTCATTGAAAACCGTTTTAAAAGCACCTAATCCTAAAATATTAAAAGTGTTTTAAAAAAACATTATCAGAATTTATCTGTTCATAAATTACGTTTTCTATTTGAATATTGGTCATAGTAAATTAATATTAAAATATTTATATTTTTTTAAATTATAATAGTAAAATTAAATTAAAGTACATATTATGTTCTATTATTTTCCATGATAGATAACAACTACTATATTCTTACCTTTTTTTCCTGGATCTCCAGTATCTTTATACTTTTTCAATCTTCTTACTAAGGTAGATTGTAGCACATTAAAAGAAACTGCTGATTTTTTATAGCCCATTTCTTTATTGTAACATGCCATGATCGCATTTTCCATAGACTTCTCATCCCAAGAGTGCCTATTGGTTTTTCTAATATAATTTCTAACCATTTTATGAAATACTCTACGGTTGAAAAATATTTGATCATAATTATAAATAAGCGTAAAATGTATTTATTAATACATGGGGCAAAATGGGGACGTCCCCATTTTGCCCCGACAACATAATTACTACATACTTACTTTTTCGATTATTTTCGCACACGTTCTGATGATTATTAAGTATAATTTTTATGAAAATACTATTTTTATATACGTATACTGTACTTAATAATGATTAAAGTTAAAATAATATACTTTCAAGCCGAAAAAAAAAAATTAAAAGTAAAAATCGATGTTATTATATCACTGTTGTCATGGTATCACATTTTTCATGTTCTTATCAATAACTCATATTATAATCACAGACTTCTATACTATAGATAAGGTACTTATGGAATTTTACGTGGAGAGCGGTGAAGCCCAGCTGTTAAGCTCTTATCACACATCCGCCATTTTGATGGTTGGCAGAAAAATTATATTCATTAATTCACTACATTATTATTTTTAAACAAAAAATTTAATGAATAATAAATAAAAATTTATGATATTGTTAAGTTAGCAACGGGCCAAGGAATAGTCATGGGCTTGATATATCGATGATATCAAATATCGATATTTTGTTTTGATATATCGATATATATTGATATTTTAAACATACGATAATATGGATATATCAATAATACATTATTTATTACAAATGTCTTTCAAGTTTGGAACTGAAATATGTATGTGTTTCGGCTTCAACTGTTCCATCAGAAAGGTTATTTTCTTAAGCTGGTAATATATTACCCAACTGTCGTTCACGATTACTATCTAAACGTTTTGAAAAATAAACATTTTTATCATCATTAGATGAGAAATATTGGAATATTTAAATGTAAAGCAAATTAAGCAAATGTATAACACTAACCTAATATCTTATATAATTTTAAGTTTTTACTATTTTTGTTTTAAAATAAAGTTTCATAATTTATTACATTATACATATTTTTTTAATTTTTTTTTTTATCAAATATCAAATATTGATATTTATTTAAAAAACAATCGATATCAAGAAATTAAGTTATGATATATCGATATTGATACTATTGATATTTTTTTCGTACAGAACATGACTACCAAGTAATACTGAGATTTTCGGAGCAATATAGAATTATAAATATATACATTTTTAATATATTACTTACCAATAACAAACGTTTTGCGTGGAGTCAAATAAATTGGTATTCCCTTGATATCTGTAAGATTGAGTAAATACTCCACTAGAGGTATCATTATACACTGCATTCTATTCATATCATCTCTGTATAATGTTTTTTTAAAACCTTTCCCATATGGGTTACGCGAATTTAAAAATCAAATATTTGATCAATGACTCGAATAAAATGTTCAGTTTCTTCACCTTCAAATATAAGTGAGAAATAAATATTTGAGAAATGTGACACTTGTATAAAAAAAAAATATAAATGTATCATTGGAAATTATCTTATAGTATTAATTAATAGTTTTAACTCAACTGTTTTTAAATGTAGGCTCTTTTATCTGTCTTATAAATTGTAATGCATCTCCTGTTGACACACTTAATGTTTGTGCAGCCAATTTGACTTTCATAATTTTTTTTTTCCTATCAATATGAGAAGGAGTTAATTTATTTGCTACATTTAAGCCTACTTTTTCTTGGACTATAAAAATGTAAGCAAAAGTATTTATATTATCCTATCACTTCAAAATAATTAATCTTTATAGAATACTTCACTTACCTTTATTTAAATCTTTGATGTATGTCCAATCAATAACACCATTTTTACTTGAACTGTTGATAAGTTGTAAGTGCATTGCGGGCCAATTTGATATTATGGCAAGCATCAGGAACATAATATATCTAGCCAATATCATAGGAATAGTTGGAGTTACATACTATTTAAATTAAATTTGTTTCTAAAACCTTACTTTCCAATCAATTTCAGGTATACTAAACCACTCAACTATTTTATCATACAAGCCACTAAATTTGCATCCTAAGTGTGTCATAGTAGATATATTTGTGGTCGTACCATCACAGGTTAAACCCTACACTCTAGCTCTTGCTTTTGCCATTATAATTGCTGTTTTTATTTATCCTGCTTGTACTGATGCTGTACTTTTCGATTGTAAGAAGTAGCCAATAAGCCATTTCCATTTGCCATTGAGATCAACAAGCATAAAAACTAATGTTTCGGTTGCAGGGGTCTCATGTGCCTCAACCTGTATACCTCCAAAATCACAGTACCCTAAAAATTTGTCTTTTTTTTCGTCATAAATATTTTTTTTACGTATTGACATGGCATTAAAAACTAAATTACAATCTTTATCACCATCTGGAATTTTCTTTAAATACTCAAATACTTCTTCTAAAAAACCTGGATCAGCTTTCACTGAAGAAGTCCAATTTGTGATAGATGACGGATGAAGAAGAGTTAGTATAGTTCTAAAAAAATAATAATAGTATTATACATTTATATCATAGTATAACATTTATGCATACCATAAGCAATAAGCCAGGTGTAGATACAATTTAATTACCTACAAAAATTATAAGATTTTGGAGAGTAATAATACAAAGTCAAAGAAAACTGTTTCATTTCTGTTGAATATCGTGCACCAGTTACTTTATTATTATTTTTTATTTCACTTTTAAATATATCCAATATAGTACTTAATAAACATTAGCATGCATGCATATTGCATATATCAAGCGAAAATTAAGCAATGCAATTTTTTTAAGAATAATTATAAAATATTACCACTGAAACAAATTTCTATAATAATTCCTGGTTCAGCATCAATTAAACTTTTACACCTTAGGTCTTTCAATAAATCTTGTAAATTATTTATTTTATTTTGCTTTCTTCTTAATTTTTGTTGTGATTTCTTGATTTTACTTTTTAAGAAAAGTTAATTTCCATAATTTTCTAATGTTTGAACTTCTTTATCGGCAACAGAATATATTTTTAGAAAACCATCACTATTTTCAATCAGTGAATTGTCTTCTACTTCAAGGTCTAAGGTTTAATAATTTTAAATATTTATCAATTCAGGATATGGATCAAATTTAAATGTAAAACTGTATCAATTTTTGGAACATCAATCGGTGTATAACTTCTTTTTGTAGTTTCTTTTCGTGGACGTTTGACAGAATTTTTATAGTAAGAAGGAAAGATGGGAAATTTGATGGTACAGCATCAATTTTTAAACGTGGTTTAGTTGTACCAGGTCTTAGTTCATAATCACTTTCAATGAAATGAATACTACATATTCGACTCCATTGGGTTGGTATAAAATTTTTTCGTCTCAATGCAATAATCCACTTTTGATTTACATTTTCATTATTCAAAGGAAATTTATAAAATAATGAAATCAGATTAATTTTTTGAAATTAATATAATAAAACAGGTATTAATGATTCATAGAAACGAATGTATCTATATATTAGGAATTATGAGTATAGATACCAAACCGTTAATTTAATTTTAAATACACATAATTAAACTTACCGAAAAAAGTGAATATTTTGACCGAATTTATACCTATTGGAACATCCAAATGCCATACATGATACTGGCATAATTATTATAACTTTAATATAATAAAAAACAACTAAAATATAACGTATTTAAATGTATAATTGTATAAAATACTTAAATAATAATTCACTTAGCACGTGCATAATACAAAATGTATAATGTTTTGCCAACCAACAAAATGGCGACCTAACGTTGATAATAACCTTATCTAGTTTAGTATAGAAGTCTGTGATTATAATGTAATATAAATAATTAAATTTTAACTACGATTTCTCGATAAGGGAACAATTCTAAACAGCTGTTTTAAAAACTAATATTTTCATTATTTCCTTATCATTTAACCATGGCCCCGTTTTGCCCCACGTTCCAATATGATAAAAATGAAAATTCTGTAGATATACATGTAAAAGATTTAATATTATTAAAAGATTTCGAAAACAAAATTACATAATTTATGGATAGGACCATATGAAGTGATAGAGATAGAGATAGTAGAAGAATGAAATATTGTAATACAAAAAGGAAGAAGAGATGTAACGGTACATAAAAATAACATAAAAAAGTAAAAAAATATTTTATTTACTTATTAAAATACGAAAAAATAATCAACGTCAGTATACAGTTATTACTTTTTTGAATCGGTATCATTTTTGAGATCAAAAATATATTAATTATTGAGCGATTTGTGAAGGAACTAAAATTTAATCTTTATAATTTCGTAGTACTTGACGCACACATGCGAATGTACGTTCAGTGTTATTATATAATCGACAGAACTTGCAGCGCACCCTACTAAAACATGACCAGGCTATGCTGCTGTGCCGTGGCATAATAATAATAATAATAATATAGTTAGTACATCATTACGACAGTTCGCGGTTTTTTTCAACGCATTTGTACTGTCTCAATTTGTTTCTATTTACATACTCTCACAATAGATTAAATCATACGTAATCTATGCCTTAACTATAATTTCATAATTTTATTGTATTATACTTTATACTCTATGTGAATACCAAAAATAATATAGGGGCGAATTATTTCATAACTTTTTTCATATTTAACCGGACTATAACCATTTTTGAAGTAATAGTTTAAATAGTTATTGTTTCAAAATATTTTACTAATTTTTGAGCAATTTATAGTTATTTGAAATATTCCGTCTTTTTTAAATTTTTTTTTTATAACTACTCTATTTACTCTATAGAAATAAAAAGTTATTAGTTTAATTATGTATAATATTATATATCAACGATCAATATAGTTAATAATAATATAATTTAATATATATAATAGTATAATATAGTTAATGGTTATATGTTAGGTAAATTATAAATGCAATTTTCATATTATAAATTAATTTGTTTTTACTGTATTTCAATAATGTATACAATAATTTACGATATCTGTTTCTATTTACAGACATTACATCTATTACTATTTTTTATTTTTTTATTTTAAATTGTGCTTCAGTTATTCTAGCCGGATCTCGTATTCGTAAACCTCTCGGAACTCGAGGATTTACAATTTCAGGTTATATGCAATACACGTAGAAAGATGTTAATTTTAGAAGCATCTTATTTGTCCAAATATATTTATCTCTGTTGATATGCTGAACATATAACTCATACCCGTCGGGACTTGCACTCAAAAATGAATTCTCAGCATTAATGAATAACCCACATGGTCTCACGGATTTTTTGTATTGATTTTCAAATACTCGAATGGCAACTTTTTCATTTTGACGTCTAAATTCAAAATTTTTTGAAATAATATTTTTACTATATAATAATACTTTCACTAAATTATAACAAGATGTAGTCGATTTTCTATTAATTACTGCTCCAAAATTAGAAGCAGTGAGTCTATTTTTTCTTGCTTCGTGCCAGTTTACATTATCATGTTGACCAATGGTGTATTATTCTAAATTCTCTATTGCTGTAGTCGTTGAAGCATATATTTTTAATTCTTCTAACTTTTTATTGACCTTTGATTTTAATCCATCTTCAGTCATATCCAACCCAGCAGCATCAGGTTCGTAATCAAAATCATAGTTTATTGTACTCTTGTCATGACTTACTCGAAGCCTATAGTTTTTTTATTTTTTATGCTTTGATTTTGAAGTTGAAATTGCAATACGCATCGATATATTTTTTTTTGAAAAACTTCCCAGGACTCCTTCCTGTTAATTTTTTCCAAGAACTTAAATGCCAAATGAACCTCTAGAGTGAACTTGTGTTGCACCTAACACTCTTCTTTGGTATAATTTACTCTTTTACCACCAGTAAATTTTGCTACTAAACTCATAAAGTTTTCTGCTTAGTTAGTAGTAGTATTAAAAACTAGACGATCGGCTTTTCGTGTAACTTTATCAACAATTGCTACAATTTCCGAAATTATTTTTCCACTTTCCATTAACGGCAGAGGCGGACTGGCCAGGTGGGACAGTAGGAAGTCATACTGGGCCGCAGGCTTTCTAAAGCCGCCGGGCCGAACCATGTAAATTTAAAATTTTAATATTTTAACTAAAATAAAATAATAATAATTATATTAAAATAAGTCTATTATGTTTATCTTATATTATAAAATTGTTATAAATGCAAGTTTTTACCAACACAAAATAAAGAAAATATACATTTAATTCAGCTTGGTACGGTGATACTTCTATTTATAACTTTTAATAAACAAATAACAATGTAATATGGATAATAATTCCATTTAAATGAAGGTCATCGATTGGTTGCCGGGTGGTGGCTGACGTTTTTTGTAGTATTGTGTATTTGTGTTCTAGTGTTCATTGTTCATTTATGTGGATGTGTAAAATCATATCAGTGCGGGTGATCATAAATATACCATATACATCCAAAAGTAACAATTAATAATTATTTTTACGCGAGTACAGAATATCCGATTGCTGACTGACGAGTGACGAAGTGACGACGTGCACACTGCTGCTCGAGTACAAACTCTACACATTACAAACTGTAGTCTTATCTATAATAGTATTGTTGTTTAGTATGGTCTACTAGTCTGTATTAAGACACATTATAATAGCACGTCTAAAAAAAGCCCGGGCGCCCGATACGAGTACAGTTACCGTTATTTAAAATACATAGACCAAGGGAGTTGACAATATCGTAGATATGAGTACCTCGGGGGGAAGAATAGGATGAGCCCCACGAGGGGTGGAAGGAGTTAAAGTCACCGCATAGTAAAGAAGACGGAGAAATCAAATTGAATAATAGTTGCCATAGGTCCAAACAGAAATATGAGTATCACCGGGAATATAGCAGGACCATATGGAGAGAGATGGAGAAAAATTGGACTTAAGTAATTCAACGCTAACAATGTTCATTTTTTTTTTCAGTAAAACGATTTTTTGTTACCGGATCCAGAGTAATCCGCCTAGATTTTATGGAACTGTGAATCGCGATAGCAGAACCTGCATAACCGTTGGGGCGATCACATCTAAAAAAATTAAATTGAGGGATATTAAAGGCACGAGAAGGAAGTAACCATGATTCAGAGAGTATAGCAATGGAGCATTTATAATGAGCAAGTAAGTTCTGTAAAGAAGTAATTCGAGCAGGGAGACTTCTGACGTTCCACTGTAAAATGTTTAAAGAAGGAGAAGAGTTATAACTTCTTAAAGAGGACATTACTAAAGAAAAAAAAAAAAAAAATATAAAACTGCATTGAATCAGCTAATGGAAGAAGATATTGCTTTTCTAAACTCGTTATGGCTGCTTTTAATATTCCATAACTTGAATAAATAAATACTAAATCGGCTTCCAAAATATTTTGTTCCAACATTATTTTTTTTACTTTTTCAATGCATATTGCATCCTCGGCATTTAATTACATTTAATAAACTGAACTACATTTAATATTGGTTTAAAATATTTACAGTAATATATGGCTGCCTCCAACCATGTTCCCTATCGTGTGATAATAGGTGAAGGAGGTAAAGGAACATCGGGAGCTTCTTTTTTAAACAGTTCAACACGTGAAGGGGCTTTTAAAAAAACTTTTTTCATGTTTGCGATTAGTTCATCAACTTTTGGAAAAAGAGAACGGATTTTTCTGATGTCCGATGTAGTCCATGAGCAAGACAAGTGATGTGGATCATTTTAGAGTAAAATGCTTTTATAGCATTTGCTGCTTTCACCATGTATGGCGTAGCGTCTGTAACGAATAGTATTACGTTATCGTGTTGTATACCACTCGGCCATAAAAAAAACATTGCTTTGTCGAACAATTTACTAATTGTGGAATGGTTAGCTTTTTCTAAAACGTTACACGAAAGTAAAAATATTTTTCCGGGTTTATCGACTTCTAAAGTACCAATCACAACATTTGCAATGTATCGGCCAGTAGCATCAGTTGTTTCATCTATGGACAACCAAATCTTCTTTCCCATTACTTCATTTCGTATTTTATTCATTGTGTCTTCATAACATTCATCAACGTATGTTTTTCTTAATAATGAAACCGAAGGTATATCTTTACCTGTATATTTTTCAAGAAACAAACGAACATGTCTATTTCCCAATTTTTCCAAAGGAATATTTGCAAGTAGTAATGTGTTGCATAAATCTTTGGCGAACAAAGATTTGTCCGGTATATTGGGCAATAATTGTTGAAATTTTGATTTATTCTCATTTTTCCTATGAACAGCACGGATGTATTTATCCGTTTTCAAACGCTGTGTAACAGTAAAGCGCTTTACCCTATTGACTTTAATCTCACATACTTTACAAAAAAGAATTTCCCCGTCACATGCAAAAATATTTTCTCCAAATTCAGCAACATATTTACGAACAGACGATTGTACTTTTGACATTTTAATTTAAGAAACACAAATAGTTGAACACTCGAACGAATACACAATATCGCGAAGCACTGTCGTATAAAAACTAAACCATTAGTCCATTAGGTACTAGGTAGGTACTAGTTTTTCGTTACTAAATTTTATCGTAGTAATAAACTTTATCTTATCTTATTTCTTATTTCACTTGTTATTATAAATCTTATTATAGCCCATATCAAATTATACTTCATGATACACTAAATTGATGTAAGTCTTGCGCATAATAATAGTATACTTCATACTATTTTTTTTCTATATATGCATTATATTTCAGAAAATTGCTGAAATATGCACAATAATTGAAAATGGTCCAAATATGCAAAAATATGCCAAATTTAATTTTGCATATTAACACATTAGGTTAAGATTCAAATTTGTATCTTACCTAGCTACTTTTTAGATATATAGATAGAAATATGCAAATGCATACAATTCCGGGCCCTATTTATTACGTTGAGATGCTTTCTTGTTGGTCGCTATGGACGAATCTTGATCAGTATTATGTAGGGGAGACCGGGTACAAATGTAACACGGGTCAATTGTAACATCGTTGATTTTCTCTTCTAGGTTCAATTTTAAAATATGGCAAAAATACGAAAGTTATCCCGGTGTTATAACAACTAGTTCCTCTTTATCAATACGGCAATATTGTCATATTGTCCTTATCAGAAAAATAATAAAATACATTTATCAACTCGGATTGTAAATTAAATATTTTGTCGTATTTTTTTATTTAAATTTATCATTTATTTATTATTTATAGTTACTATTATATTTATATAAGGAAAGAAGTATTCTTTAACTTGATTGTCTTGTCTGGTCTGTGCATAATAAGTATTTTTTTTTATATTTACTTTCTTACATAAATATTGATTGGGGACAATTGTAACAGCTAAACAGGGGACAAATGTAACATTTTATTTTTGTTTATTAAAATTATATTTGTAAGAAGCAATTATTCATTATTCTTTGTTATAGGTAATAGCCATGCCGCGAATAAGGCAAAGAACAACAAATAGAGGCACTGATAGTGAAGCCATAAAGAGAGCTGCAGAAATCTGTATAAATGAAAATAAATCTGAACGATCAGTTGCAAACCAATTTGAAATTTGTCATGTAAGTTTAAATCGCTACATAAAAAAATTGAAAGCTCACCGTGATTCTGGTGGTCCTCTACCTCAAGGGTGCCCAAACCCAGGCCCGCGGGCCACGAAGTGGCCCGTCAACGCTTTTGGATTTGCCCGCCAACATCTATACTCTATAGTCTATGACATTTTAAATTATTATTAATATTTCTTTTAAGTTTAAATTTTGTTGTATATTTTATTTTATATACGTGTGTGTATCAAATTAGCACTAGGACCATTCCACACAGCAATGTTATCGGGTTTTCCTGTGATGACCGGATGCGTTTTACCCGAACCCGCATTTGTCGCGATGTTAATCGGTATTATTTTTATGTTTATAGATTATCTTGATTGTCCGTCGACGTAGTCGTCGTATATCGGCGAATTAAGATAATAAATTGTTATTCGAAATATTGTACAAACAGCGACCAAAATCAGTCGCTCCGCACCCGCCTTTTGCTACGGTCGTAAAAATAATACGTACAACTTAATAAATATTAAATTATTTTGTAATAATTGCGTTTATTCTGTGTTTTTACTTGTTAATTTTAAGCCAGAATGGCTCTCAGCAAACCAATTACGTCGAAATTGAAAGAACGTTCTCGGACATTTCACGAAGAATGGGAGATGCAATATTGCTTTACTGAAAGCAAAGCATTGAAGCCCATATGTCTTATTTGCTCCACTACGATTGCCGTCGCCAAAAAATATAATTTAGAACGGCATTTTAAACAAAATCATTCAAGTATTAATAAAAACTACCCGGAAGGAAGTTCTCTAAGAGCTGAGTTTATAAAGAAGAAAAAAAAAGAAATATTTGGTCAGCAGAATCTGTTTGTAAAAAAATTTGATAAACTCGAATCTATGGTAAAAACATCATATGAGATATCTTTACTTTTAGCCAAAAATAAAAAGCCTTTTTCTGATGGGGAAATTATTAAAGAGGCTTTATCAATTTTTTCTAATAACTGTAATGATAAAAATATAAAAACTAAAGCAGACGGTATTTCACTTTCGAGAAATACTGTAACAAGACGAGTAGAGGAGATGTCAAACGATATTAGCAACCAAATAACACAAACCGTAACGAAATGTAAGTATTTTTCATTGGCGTTGGATGAAACTTGTGATTTGACGAGTATGTCACAGCTAGCCATCTTCGTGAGGTGTGTTGATGAAAATTTTAATGTATTTCAAGATTTATTAGAGCTCAGCCAGTTGGAAACTACAAGTACCGGAAGAGACATATTTATGAAAATCAAGGAATGTGTCGACAGAAAAGGTATAGCATGGGAAAAAATTAATTCTGTTTGTACTGATGGAGCACCCGCTATGACGGGAAAAATAAATGGTTGTGTGGCATTGTTAAAACAGTTCTTAGGCCGGGAATTATTTTCATATCATTGTATCATCCATCAGGAAGCTTTATGTGCCAAAGATATGAAGTTTAATGATGTTATTGATCCTGTAGTACGCTGTATTAATTATATCCGAGCCAAAGCTCATCATCGAAGACAATTCAGGGTTTTATTTGAAGAAGAAATCAATGAATTCGGTGAGTTACATTTGTATTGTGCTGTCCGCTGGTTATCTAAGGGTGAAATGCTGAAACATTTTTTTCTTTTGCGGAGAGAGGTCTTGCAATTTTTAGTAGAAAAGCAGGCAATGCCTGATGAGCGAGATTTACTTGAAAGTGAATCATGGTTATGCGATCTTGCGTTTTTAATAGATATTACACAGCACCTCAACATACTTAACTGGAAGCTGCAAGGGAAGGACTGTTCGTTACCAATAATGTTCAATTTGGTTTATGGATTTAAAGCAAAACTCTCCATTTTTTTGACAAATTTGACTAGAAATAATATCGATCATTTTCCTACGCTTGTAGATATAAGAGGAAAACTAGAAAATACTTCACCTGACATCTCGAAATATCAAACACAAATTCAATTATTGTTGCAGTCTTTTGAGAACAGATTTCAGGATTTTGAGAAGGACAAAAATAATATTTTGTTTTTCATGAACCGATTTTCAATCACTTTTAGTGAAATACAAAAATATTCATGCAATATCCAGTTGGAAATCACAGAAATTCAAAACCACGTTTCCTTGAAGCAGATATTTACCGAAATTGTATCATCACAACCACAACTGCAGTCTTCAGAAAATTTATTAAAATTTTGGAAATTAGTACCAAAAGAAGACTTTCCTGCAACGTGTGATCTTGCCTTGCAGATTTCAAGCAGATTTGGATCAACATATATTTGCGAAAAAGCTTTTTCTACTCTAACCTATGTCAAAAATAAATATCGTAGTTCGTTAACTGCGCCTCATATTTCAGATTTGATGTTGTTATCAACATCAGATTTATCACCAGATATTGAAAAATTATTAGCTAATAAGTCTCTTCATAGGTCTCACTGATGTTTTTTTTTAAATATTATTAAAAATTAAAACATGTGAAATTTAAAATGTTGTTTAATTTAAATACCTATTTGTTCTATCTAATTAAGTATCTATTGAAAATAGAATTTTAGATGAATTATAAGTGTAAGAAAATCTTGTTCATAACATGGCCCACCAGCTAAATGTAATTGCAATTATAGCCCGCTTCCAAAATAAATTGGGCACCCTTGCTCTACCTGAATGTGGTTATCGCTCTCACACTCGAATATTTAACAATTTACAAGAATCAATATTAACAAATTACTTAAAAAATTGTGCTGACATGTATTTTGGATTGAGCACCAAATATGTGAAAAAAACTAGCTTATGAATTTGCATTAAAATTAGATTTAAAAATACCACCTAGTTGGACCAAACATGCATTTGCAGGTGATGATTGGTTTTCTAGTTTCTTAACACGCAACAACACATTATCCATAAGAAAACCAGAGGCTACTAGCTTAGCTAGGGCAATGAACTTCAACCAAGTAAATGTTAAAAAATTTATGGATAAGTATGATTCAGTTCTTGTGAAGTATAATTTTGAAGCACATCAGATTTATAACTTAGATGAAACTGGGATAACTACTGTGCAAAATTCTGGTAAAATAGTAGCACAAAAGGGAAAAAAACAAGTTGGAGCTATAATATCATCTGAACGTGGAACATTGGTTACAATGTGCTTAGCAGTAAATACTCTTGGCAATACGATACCTCCTATGTTTGTTTTTCCTCGAGTGAATTATAAAGATCATTTTATTAGAGGAGGACCACCAGGGTGTGTAGGCACATCTAATAAATCAGGGTGGATGCATGGTGACCAATTCTTAGAATTTATGCAACATTTTGTCAACCATGTGAGACCAACACCAGAAAAAAAGGTGCTGATACTATTAGATAACCATGAATCACATTTATATTTACCAGTAATTGATTATTGTAGAGAAAATGGTGTTGTGTTGCTTTCATTCTCCCCTTATTGCTCCCACAAACTTCAACCTTTAGACAAGTCAGTGTTTGGTCCATTCAAAAAATTAATTAACCAAGAAATGGATTCTTGGATGAAGATCAACCCTGGTAAAAGGTTTACTATATATGATTTACCTTCTATTACATCTAATGCCCTTGTAAACGCAGCTACACCAAAAAATATTATAAATGGTTTTTCTGTGTCTGGTGTCTGGCCATTCAATAGAAATGTGTTTGATGACGATGAATATACACCATCAACTGTTACAAACATTGTATTAAATAGTACTGATAATATGCAACCTAAAGTAACATCTAATAACACAGAAACAGTTATAACAAACATAATAACTGAATCATTAAGTCAGAAACCAATAACTATATCACCTGAAAGTATTAGACCTTATCCTAAATCCCAATTAACACAAAAAATGGCAAAAAAGGGTGGGAGAAAAAAAGGAACAACTAAAATACTAACAGATACACCAGAAAAAAATGAAATCGAACAAAATGCTAACAAAAAAAATAAAATTGTAAAAAGCAAACTATTATATAAAAAAGCTAGAAAAAATAAAAAAACATCCAAAGCCACAAAAAAAAAAAAAAAATAAGATAGTTGATGAAAGTGATGAAGATGATGATGCTTTTTGTATGGTTTGCTCAGAACTTTATACAAAAAGTAAAAGTGGAGAATCATGGATTCAATGTCATAGGTGCAAACTTTGGTCTCATGAAGCTTGTACTAAAAACAACTTTACCATATATTATATTTGTGATAATTGTGAAGCTGATGATATTTAACTATTAATGTTGTAACATTGAGACTGATATTGTTTTAATTAGTTATTTTTAAGAGTTATAACCTTTTAATAACCTTTATATTATTTTATTATTTTTATTTTATTACTTTATTAAGTATGTTTTACTACTATTTTTAAATTTTTATATTTAGTTATAAAGGCTTAAACTATAAAAAGATTATAATTTGTTCTTTATTAT